GGCCCAGACGAAACGACTAAATCCAGTGTCAACCTTCGTCCGCAGACATGTGCTAAGGCTGAAGCTTGGAAGTTTGTACTAAAAGTGTACGAAATGTACCAAAAATTGAAAACTTTATATTGGAAAAATGAATTGGAATAAGAGTCACTGTTGGAGTGCAGAATCTATGTACAAAGCGTTTTCGGAAATGCGAACTTTAAGACTCGAAAATGGTACTAAACTTCTAAGATTGTACCATTTGGTATTATGTGAACGGATGGAGTTTAAAACGTTGAATGTTGGGTTGGAGATTGGAAAGTTGAGTTTGATATACGAAGGTAGTTTTGGAAATGCGTACTAAGTGTGCGAACTGTACTAAATTGTACTAAATTTGAACCGTTTGGTTTATGGTGAAGCTGCAATTTTGTATTGGGATCACTGTTGGTGGTAGGTTTGTAATAAAAAAGTAGTTTTGCAAATGTGTACTACAAATGCACGATAAGTACGAAGCATTATTATGTTTGGTATTTGGTGAAAAGATAGTGATTGCAGTTTGAAATTTGATATTAGAGTCGCAGTTCATGTGTGACCTGGACATATGAAGGTGGTGATGTACTTTAATTGTACGAAAAATAATGAATGGTACAATATTTGGTATTGTATAAAGAGATAGAGATAAAAATTGATATTTAAAATAGTGGTGGTATCTGTGTTCGGGATTTGGCGGTGGCTTGGAAATGCTTACTATATTCGTAAGAAAAGTACTAAATAGTACTAAATTTGGTAACGAGTGAAGGAATAGAGCTGAGATCCTGAAATAGTTGTAACCGTTGGTGTCTGTGGTTCAAATGTGGAGTTAGTTTTGGGAATGTGTACCATAATTGTTCGAAAAGTACTAAGTGGTAAAAAATTGGGTATTGTAGAAGCGTCTGGGTTGGTGTCTGGGTTTGAGAGAAGGTGCTGGTTTTGGGATATGCGTATTTCAATTGTACTAAATTTGGTAATGGACGAAATTAAAAATCTTAAATACTGAAATTTGATATTAAGGTTACTGTGGATACCTGAGGTGAAGATACGGAATATTTTGTGAAAATGGGAACTGAAAGATTTACTAACTAAATTTAATGGAGATATTTTTATCAAGTAATATGTGACCTCCCGTACCATGCATTTCATGTCTTTGAGAAGGTTTAGATATACGAAAATTGAAGGAAAAATATGGATCGAAGTTATAGCTATATTTCAACCTGTTTAGTCCAAACTTGATATAAGACCTATCAAGTTGAGATTTTATAGTACCATCCAAAATTCTGCTGTATCATTCACATGGAATTCTAATGTGGAAGCTTTATCCAAATCTTAACCAATCTCCACAAAATTTGTCGAAGGTATTTCTTTTCTAAGGCGTAGCGACTTTGAGAGACTTAAATATCAAATTGGATGAAAAATATATATTGGAAATTAAAGCTTGAACTGATTTTCTCCAAATATGAAATAATGCCAAAGTTATTATATTAGGATCATATGTAATGGTTCATATTGAGATTTATAGTGAAATTTTGTGTTGAATATTTTTCTTCTTTTAAAAGCTTCTGCTTAATTATATTTTATAAATTTTCAGGCGTCAACTCGAAAAAGTCCTAAAAAATTGATGAAGAACATTAAGGAATATTTTCGGATTTTTTGGGAACATTGATACAAATTTTTGTTTTTGTCATACAGTAGAAAAAGAGATTTCTTTCCATTGGTGACTTATAGAAAAATTTGAAGAAGAATATTTATGTCTTTGATGGCATCCTTCTAAAATGATGCTTTGTTTAAGGTTTTTGCACAAAATTTAAAAATGCGTCTTTAGCCCTGAATTGTATTTGTATTATGTGTGGATTCCTGGCATTTAGGTTAAATTTGGAATCTTGACGTTTTCTAGTATCAATAGTAGAATTTCTTTATAAATAATTGTTGCAATATATTTTAAATAAATAAAGGCCAACAAATCCCTTTCTTATCTCGCTAGAGCGTTAAAATTCGACCAAAACATTCCACGTATTTTTATCTGCAACATTGCCGAAGACACTATGTACCTAAAATACACGGGTTCCAAGGAATCTTAATCCAAAAATTAGCAAAAGTGTGGAAGATGGGGGAAATTGCCCCATTTATTTTGTTAATGTAAGCTTTCAAAATGCCGATACTCGTGTCTTCGATTTTTAGCTCTTTTTTCAAAATTTACTGGATTTACCAAAAATTTTAAAAATAATAATTCGGATTCCTCGATTCTCTATTAACTCTCCACATTGCAATATTTCAACAATGTTAAATCTAGTGTGAATATAGCTAATTATGTCATCCAAGATAATTTTTTTAAAATATATTTATATGTACATAAAAAGTGCACTAGTTTTCATATCAACTGAAGTCTTGAGGTAGAATGTTCTTTGTTTGTTTTCATAAAATGTTAACTATTTACAGAAGCTAAAAAGATAAGACGTACGTGATGGTAACACATCAAACCAAAATGCTAGTTTTTAGGTTTCCAATTCCAATGTAAAACGAATAAGGAACACTGGGCACAAAATATTATTAGGTATATAAATTTCTGATATATTCTTATACCGTACATAAAGAATATAATAATATAATATATTAAATAATTGCTTTGCCAATAAAATATGAGTACAATGTTTTAGAACTCCGTGACAACAAAATTTTAGACTGAAGAACAGTAACTGTGTCTGACAAAGTCATTATTTCCACAATTATTTGATAAACATTGGTATTATTATATTTATTTATTTTTTGATAAAACTAACTAAATTTCTGATAAGAAATGTTAAAAATTATGGCAGCCTAAGGTAATTGGAATTTACAATTCACTTTTTGGCAAGGCCGCATGCAAATACTTATTTTCCGTTACTCATTCCGTCTTATTATTAAGTTCTCTTTTCCGTTATTGTTCCATTGCTTATTATTGGTAAAACTTGTAGAAAAAAAAAAGTACATGTCTATCAAAATCAGCATTATTTGGTAAAAAGTTTTAAAATATTCCAGGTTTCTCACATTTCTTTAATGGTTAACAAAAATTAAAAAAATTGCATCGGACAAATGTGAAAATGAAAATGAAAATACATCATAAATATACCTAAAATTTTATGAGTAACATTTTTATATCTTGATTGAAAAAGTCATGGAAATAGTAAAATTAAAAAAAAAAAACAAATATTCCACAAAAAATTATCATTCGATTTGAATGCATAGATGTAGTTTCAACAAGTAAAAAAGCTGTAAGTTCGGCCGGGCCGAACTTTTAGTACCCTCCACCATTCGGTACAAATTTATCAATTTCCAAAAAAATAAAATAAAATCCGTTAAAAATTCTGTTAAAATCTTTAAAATACCGAATGCCTATACGACGACGTGGACCTGCATAGGCAACTTTTGTCATAAGTTAATACAATATTTAAATGCGAAACTTAAAGAAAAATCTATACGAACTTCACATGCGAAATTTGAAACAATCCCGGTAAATAATGTCGTTAAGGTCATCAAAATACCGAATATTGGGGGGTACGGTATATATATATATACGAAGACGTGGAACTACATGGACCATTTTCTGTTTTATGCTAAAGTATCTATTACGAACTTCAAATACCAAACTTGGAACGATTCCGTTAAAAAATGTCGCAAAAATCATCAAAATACCGTATATCGGGGGGTACCGTTATATGGGGGCTATACGAAGACGTGGACCTGCACAGATAATTTTCTGTCTTAGGCTGTAGTATCCATTATGAACTTCAAATGCCAAATTTGAAACAATTCCGGTGAATAATGTGAGTTGAGTTCAATCAATCCTCACGAAATTTTCACAAAGGTAGGGTTAGGCTCACAAGAGCGAAGCCTATTGTTTTCAAAGATGTCCGCAATATATTTAGAGGTTAAAATAGACCAGCAACTCAAAATGTTCCTGATTTTGCAGCTGTTATAAACGTCACAAATAGAAACCAAAGAACACGAAATCTCGCATGAATTTAGAGTTTAGGACAGCGGGTAGAATGGGCCACTACTTTTTTGTGAAAAATACCAACATTACTTACAGGTCATATCCGAAATACACAAAAGGCGAACTTCTGTTTTTTATGCTGATTTCGTTGACGAATATAGCCAAATATCGTTGACAAGCAAATCATATAGATGAGTTTAAATTTGGGCACATAGAAAGGCCTCTTACTTTTGGAGATGATCGCAAAATATATAGGGGTTCAAATGATCCAAAAACAGAAAAAATTTCCTGATTACACAATTGAAACCAATCGACACGCCTGAGAAGATAGTTAAGCACAGAGAAGAATTCTGGCGTTTTGGGTGACCATTGAATTATATTTAACCGTGAAATGAACCACAACAACTAACAGCAAGACGGAGTTCGTAAATATTGGCCAAATGTCAAAATGCTGAGGGTAATATCTGGGCAGTGCTCCGTGACATTATTTCAAAAGCGAAATCTTTCAAAATGGATTTGGACATGAGGGCGCTTCTAACATATTGCAGTGTTGTAGGGTATCACATGGTCGGTCCCGCACGACTATAGCCCTACTTATTTGTTTTTTTTTTGTCCGAAACTATTTCAATCTCTCCACATGTGAATTTTTGAACCCGACAGCGACCTCAATATCAATGCTCTATCTCTTCACCCAATACCAAATTTAGTTGCGTTTAGAACACAAAAACAGTACTTTATGATGTTATTTGGTATAAAAGATTAAAATGCCTCCCTCAAATGTAGTGAAAATCGATTCAGAATCGTATATGCCTCCTATATATGAGTTCCCTCTGAAACCAAACTATAATTGCTCTAAAGACATATGGTGATATGATCTACTTCAAATAAATTCCTTTGTTACGGGAGCTCTACTAAATATTCATAGTGGAGTAGGGTATCGTATAATAGGCCCTGCCCGACTTTTGACTTTTCCTTAATGTTTTTTTTTTTAATTGTTGATTTTTTTTTTTCTTTTTAGATACTTGGGGTATTGACATTATCAGCATGTATTTTTGCACTAATCGAGTTTGAATTTAGTGAAGCTGTCAAAATTCCCTGCATCGTGAGCAGTGTCTTAAGTTGCATTCTATTCCTCACAAGTACTTTGGGTTGCTGTGGCGCCCAAAAGAAATCTGCGAAAGCAACATGGGCTGTAAGTGTCGTTTGTCATAGATAATAAAAAAATTAAGATTTAATGGAATTTATTTTTTTCTAGTACTCCATAATAATGTTACTGCTGATGGCAGCTCAAATTGCTGTGATTTTTGTACAACCCATTAATTTCAATAATTTTTCGACTGAAGTAATTGACAAGGCGTGGAATGTCACCGACATCAAAAAGGATTATCTAATGACTTCGTATGAAATAAAGGTGGGTCCGAAAGTGTTTATAATGTTAATATAACTATAAGCACATTTATATTACAATTGAGTTTATAAATCCCTTCTTTATCAACTTATCTGTCCGCACGTATTTTCGAATTGATACCACCTTAAAACAAAGCCATATAATTTAATTTTAAAATGATTTATGAAAATCATAATACAGCTCTTGAGGATTTACTAAATTAAGATTTAAATCCGAACTTGCTGTTAAGGGAGTAATAACCTAGTGGCATACTTCCCTTTAAATACTTTTCGAATTTATTGATGTCTCCGGATTTGAGTCTTTCCCTACTTCTAATCCTTGGTTCTCCATAAATATTAAACTTAGGATATTTTCTAAAAATTAATTTTTTTTTCTTCCATATAGTATGAATGTTGTGGAAAATTTGGACCTTCGGATTACACAGACCTGAATGTAACAATACCCCTCAGTTGTTATAGAAATCACAATAATCGCATCGATACAAATCTCCTCGATGTCGGTTGCATTGACAAACTTAATGCAATGTTTTCATCCAATCAACGAATTGAGGAAATAAGTGATTGGACTTTGGCCGGTTTGGAGGTAAGACAACATTGTCAAATCATTTGTAAATCTAATTAACATTAATCTATTTTCACTTCTTTAATAGGGAGTATCGGCATTGGTTGGTGGAATGCTGGCAATAACATTACAAAATATCGAAAGACGAAAATATTATCACTGAGAAGTAGGTACTCAATCGACGAAACTTAGTTCCTAAAATAAAATTGTATTTATTTTCATAACACTTTGGTTGCAAATCACGACAATGTACTTAAAAATGTAAATTTAAATTATACATATCTTAAACAGTGTATGCCAGAAAATTAGAACAGTATTTTGTAATTATTATATTTTGTATTAATACTAATTAAAATTTAAATAAAATGGACAGTTTGTTCAATATAAATTTTCTTACCACAGAGACTTCTTAGTATCACATTGAATTATATGAGGAGACTGGAAGACTGAGTGCATGAAACAATACTGCCGAAAAAAGGCTCCTACATCTGTAGGTGTTGTTCCAGTACTCTGGTCAACGAAACACACTCCTTAATTACAAAAGATTGGTATTGCAGCTAAATTTTCCTCGATCTCTCTGAGAGGGGTTAGTAAGCCATTTTATAATTAGTTAAGGGTTCCAAAACTTACTATGGACAACCCATTATTTCTCAATGCGTTTTGCTAGTATTTTATAGTTAAATAGATATGTAATGACACCATTGATATTTGGTTGAATGTTGTGAAATAAACCCTCATAACATCAAAAAATATAAAATAACAACTTCAACCTGGGCCTTTGATAAATATACTTTTTTAATTGTCTCATAAATTGCTATACACAAAAATTATATGTTAACATTTACAGCGAAGCAAATTTGGCGGATCTATCCACACACATATGGAGCTATTGAATCAAAGAGATCGTGATATTAACCGACAACGCAAATGAGTTGGTCCGACTCAATATGCCTAAAATTATGCTATAATGTAATTCATTAGAATAGTAAAGCTATTGACCACTAGGTGGCGTCGACCAATTTTATTTCTATTATTGATTTACCCATTCACAATAGATTTCTAATTGAAAATATTCCAAGTCCAGGTGTATTAAATGAGGTGTATGCATTATATGAAAACAAAACAACAAAGAAAATAACTAACTAACTATTATTAACTTTTTTTGTTTAACTTTCGTACTGTGATTTCAATCACAATAAGCGTTTTAACAACCCACCTGCATGTAGCGAACGAAAACAAACGAAACGAATAAGGTACTGCTCCCACGAAGTCACAAACTTTAAAATTATTTTCAATCATTTTGTACATCAAACAAAACAAAACCAAAAACATTTCAATGCAAGAAGTACACAAACAATACGATTGCCTTATTGTACTTCGGCTGTGATTTGCCGAGCTGTATCGTTTGCGAACGAATCGCCGGAAAACGTTTCCAAACGTTTGCTGAGCGAAATGAGGACTGCTATATTTATAGTCGTCATTGTAAATATCGTTTTTTACACTGTTTCCATTGTATTATGGACGTAATCTAATTATATAAAAGAAAGTTGTGTTAGTTACTACGCTTATAACTTAAGAACCGCTGGACTGATTTTAATGATCCATACAAATTCGGAATTGTCTCCTCTCCGAAAAGGATAATATCCAAAAAACCGCGTAAAAATGTGATATATTAACATTTTCATTTTGACTTTTGAAATGTACAATAGTAATGTTTTATTTTGCATGATTTTTTTCCATTTTGGCTTACTTTTTTCTAATGTACATTTGTAGTGTTTTTTATATTTTATTTTTGAATTCAAATATTAATACCAATTTATTTAATTGACTTGATTTCTTGAGAAATGAAATTGATGGCGAGTTACATGGAAGTGTAGTACCGAATTATGTGGTGGCGAAACGGAATAGATGATGCCGAAATAATTTAATGGAATCGAATTTTAAAATAGAAGTACATTCTATTGACAAACTATAGTTGTGTTCCAGTACTTTTTTAGTAGTAAAACTAGCAGAAGAGAGAACAGTTCGAAATGTCATTCTCATTTAGGTTTGCTCAAAAAATAAGGGAACGGAAAATTAGCAGAAATGCGTTAAAATGTCAAAATTCAAAATTCCAAAAGTAAACAGCCTAAATCGGACTGGTAAAACCTTACTGCAAAGAGCGCCAACATTTAAAAAATGAGTATTGAAGACTATAAGTTAAAATAAATAATTTATAATAATAATTAATAATCTGATTCCTCATTCAGCCAGTCCTCTTCACTGCTGGAATCATCCAAAAGTGAATACATCAGTTGCTCCATATTTTCTATTTTTGTTTTTTGCACGACAAATATTAGTTTTTCCTTTAGTTTTCAAGTTGATCATTTTCCTCATTGAAATGTATCAATACATTTTTCAACCTTGTTAGCCCTGCCAATTAAATGTCAAATTTACAATATGCACATTTCTGCTCGGCCAAATTCATGTAGCTATTTTTTTTTTTTTTTTGGACTGTCAAGCGAGCTCTCCTATGTTGTAGAGAGCGTTGGCGATCCTCAGGATACAAAAAGCCAGGTTGTACTCCAAATTAAGGTAAATTTGTAGAAAGTCACCTCAAGTCCAATAAGTTTATTTTTCAAAATGATTCGCCAAATTACTCCACTCCAAAGAATTTATTTTCCCAACTGGTAGGTCACTAGTGAAATCGATTACAATCCAATCAGCGTTTATCCCAACATGGATTGCAAAGTCCAGTCCAATGCTTTTATTTTCCAAAATAGTTGGCCACTCTTGAAAACGATTACAAACCAATGAGCGTTTGTTGCAAAATGGATTGCCAATATAAATTTTCCGATTACTGCAAATACAGTATAAAAATGGTGTAAAAAGAAAACGATAGTACATAAGTACAAATGTCGAATTGTAGTTCAATTTTGTTTGCTTATTTGATATTGTAATATTTATATGAAAAGGTTTTTAACTCACGACACCTGGTTGAGAGGTAGTTTTACTTGCGTGACAGATGCAGGACACCACAGACGTAAAGAGACCAAATGTGCCCGTTCAGCAGCTATGAGGTCCAAGCGATCAGGAATATCCCAATTGTGAGTCCAGTTGTGATCCAAAGGTTAGAATTCCTGTCTGCAAATTGCATAAGGAAAATAAAGGGCCAAAAGTGGGGAATGGGATGGGATAATATCAATTAGTCAACATCCATTAAAAATAAGAAAGAAAAAAAAAAGAAGGAAAAAAAAAAACAAAACTTAAAACTAATATCACAGCTTTGTTTATCACAGATGATAGAAAGTGTTCATAAACTGATTTTGGTTTCTTTCAGGAACATTAGGAGAAGGTTGTATAGGTTGTGGTCTTTGGATTGCAGTAAAGGGATTAGTCCATGGTATTTAGGGAACAGGAGGGGATATTTTTTCCTTATGTTGTTGAATCTTACGCAATCAAAAATCAAGTGGTGAGCGGTTTCCTGCGCTGCGCATGTCTCGCACAAGTTCGAGTCTGCAGCTCCTATCCGGTGTAAATACTTTTTGTCACTGGTATGGCCGGTAATCAGTCTGTTTATTAGCTTAGTATTGCTAGACTCAAAATTCATTTTTGAAAACCATGGCTTTTCATATATGTTGTTTATAATCTGAAAGAAGTGACTGCCTTTTGATTCGGATAGTCTTATAAATTCTTCATTCCAGTCATCTTTCACCAGATTTTCGATTCTGGAATACGCCTCTTCAGGTGTTAAAAATACCTCTACAGGAGCACCAACTAGAGAGGCCTGTTTGGCTAGCAAGTCAACCTCTTCGTTGATTCTAATGCCTCTGTGCGCAGGGATCCAGACAATGTGACATTTTTCAATAGAGGATCTTTCCAAAATATTGTGACATTCAGCAACCAGATAATTTGTCGAATCAGCTGAATTTAAAGCCTTGCACGCTGTAAGGCTATCTGTGAAAATAACACATCTGTTATAACCGTCCTCAGTCGCAATTTCCAGAGCCTTTTTAATGGCAAAAAGTTCTCCAAACATTGACGAGGCCTTGAAGTCAATTTTGAAAAGGAATTTGAAGTCTTTTGTAGCATTGTAAACCCCGCATCCAGTGGACTCAATGTTTACCGAGGCATCTGTTGCAAAAATACAAAATTGATTACTTTTATAAAAAGACAGCTCGCAATTAAAGGCAGAGAAAATGACCTCATTAGGCGTAATGTTTTTCGTGGATGGTAATAGGTTAGTTCTTACCGTCAGGTTTCTTTGATTTTTGTATGAAGTAATCTTGATTTTTCTAAAGATGTATTCAAATTGATGATAGATGACGCTGTAGCTTGATTTGACGAGAGGGTTGTTTTCAATTATGTCAGATAAGTCATTATTTTCCAGCTTGATCTTAAGTATCTCCTTTGCGGTGAGGAGTTTGGCTCTATACTTAGGAGGCAATTCTCCAGCTAGGGCATATATAACGTGATTAGGTGTCGATCTACTAACCCCCAGGGATCTTCTTATCATCTCATTTTGAAGTCTTTCGATATTGTTATTGACATATTTTGGTGAGTTGGCAGTCGTAGTTCTACCATAGTCTACTTTCGCTCTCACAAGGCTTTTGTATAAATTCAGAGACACTTTTGGATGTAGGCCTCCTTTAGGGGGGGTAAGGCATTTGAGCAGTCTGGTTCTGTTGCTTACTGGATCCTTGATATGTGAATAGTGATCTTTGACCGATAAGGAATTTGAGATAATTCTGCCCAAAAATTTCATTTTTTTCACCTGTTCTATTCTACATCCATCTACGTTTAGTAGAATTTGTTTGGTACTATTTTTAGCAAAATAAATCGTCTTCGACTTTTCTGGATTGAAGGATAGATTTATATTACCGCATTTCCTTTGAAAAGCCACTGCCTTAGTTTGTAGGTGTTGTAAAGCCATGTCAAAATCGTGATCAAAGACCATCAAAAGGAAGTCGTCTGCATATTGAAAAATTAATGTTTTATTATCTTCCAATTTATGAAGATTTGCTGTGTAGATGTTAAAGAGCAGAGGAGATAGACAGCTTCCTTGTGGTAAGCCGTTTTTCACCACAACTTCTTTGTCACCCAGTCTCAGAATCCTTTTTGATAGAAAGTTTATTATCCAATTCACAATTGATACGTTGAAGTTGAGCTTTCTCAAGATTTGCCCGAGAATATCCACTCTCACGCAGTTGTAGGCATTATTTATATCCAACGACAGAACTAGTACTTTATAGTTGTTGGCCTTTAGCAGTGCAACGCGGTGAAGGAATTCATTTAAGCATGTAGATGTAGACCTACTTTTCCTATATGCAAAAGATCTCGCTGGAATAACTTCCTTATCATCAATGAATTGTACTAGCTTATCTTTAAGCATTAGATTGATGACTTTCATAAAGACAGAAATGAGAGAT